CCCGCCCAACCGCCGACAGTGCCAGGAAGCACCGGGAGCGAGCCCCCACCACAGGAAAGGGGCCAGCCAGCCGGCCATGCACAGTCCCGGGCCGCCCCCAAGGACATCCACCCCATCCCCACCCCAGAAGAAATACTACACCCACCCCTCATTCGGACATCTCTCAAAACACATAGCACACTAGACACCTAGTCTGGGTCAAACTACCCCCTCTTAGGGGCCACTGGTCACGCCCCCAAACACCCAATCCCCCAGCCCATGAACCCACAACCCACCAGCGAGCCAAAGGCCCCCGCCCAGAACCGGGCACCAGAGCGCAAGCCAGCCCAGAGCCCGGCAACCCGCCCGCCAGAGCCCAAGATCTCCGATCCCCACAGGTCCAAGCCCCCGCGCCCACCCCGAACCCACACCAGCACAGCCAGGCTACCAGATCGGTGACCCATGACCGCTGCCACAGACCACCTGAGGGCCCGCATGCAGCCACCAGCTGACATCCCCCAGAACCACCCAGGCCCTCCCCAGAGGGAAAGCAGTGCCCCCCTGCCCAGGTACCCCCAAGAGCCCAGCCCCCGGCAACCCCCCCCGGCGCCCCAAACCCATACACCCGCCTCCACATCAACCCCCAGGCCCCACAAGGTCAGATCCCAGACACGTCCCCTAGTTGTTGCGACGCCTATGGGGTGCACCATGCAGCTGCAGCTTGCTTGTATATCCAGCTCAGTAAAAGCAATAAACTAAACAGTAACTGCTGTTGTACACAGGTAGAGTGTGACAAAAAAATAAAATAATAATAATAAAAAATAAAACATTTGTCTTACCACCAAGAGACGGGAGTCAGTTTGACCAAAGACAAAGTTTCTTTTACAGCTACCGGTTCTGAAGGGTTCGGTGGGCTGGAGGGTCTTCACAAAACTCAGGACTGGATTTTTTTTTTTTTTTTTTTTTTTTTAAAAAATTTTTTTTGGTGTTCTTATGTGTGTGGGTGTGTGTGGGGGGGGGGGGGGGTGCCTGTTTTTCAAATAAATAAATAAATAACTGATACGTGTTTTTTGTTAAATGTTGCTTTTAATATAATTTAATAAATTTGAATACTCTTTTTTTCCACAGGGAAAGAATCCAGATGCAGTGGTAAGTTGTTGTTTTTTGACTGGCAAAAATTTTTACCTCATGTTCAGAAAAAAGTTAGGCTTTTTTCAAGAAAAACAGTTTTCGCTGAGTAAAGCGCACATAATAACATCATGGTCCACAAAGAGCCTCTTTGTGGACCAAGATGTCAAAAACTGTTTGTTTATCTCCATTTTTGATGCTCTGTAATTCAAACAGTTCAATCCACTGGAACAGCTGTACATAGTACCAACAATTTTCAGTCAGGTCATCTAGACAGTTACTTTGTTTTTGCTGAAATGTTTCACCTTCCATCCGGAAGGCTTCATCAGTCAAGGAAACACACAACACAAAACTGATTCTTCTTCCAAATAGCTTACGCCAAAGTGGAACAAACCAGTTATGTTGGTGCTAAAATGGTGTCTTAAGCATGCCCCCTCCTCTGGAGCCGGCCCTCTGGAGCCGGCCCTCTTCATCGGCGACAGTCATGTCAAACTGGTTCAAAACCAAAACAATCCATGCTCAATCATCCAGGTATACAAACCAAAAATTTTCAGTCAGGTCACCTGGACAGTTTCTTTTTTTTCTGAAACGTTTCACCTTGCATCTGGAAGGCTTCATCATTCAAGGAAACCCACAACACAAAACTGATTATTCCCCCAAACAGCTTACTCCCAAGTGGAACAAACCAGTTATGTTGGTGCTAAGATGGTGTCTTTGGCATGCCCCCTCCTCTGGATCTGGCCCTCTT